TTGAAAAATATGTTATGTTTTATATTATAAAGTAATTAATTTATTCTTTTGTTTTTATATTTTGTTAATTCTTTTTATAAATATTTTATTTGAAATATTAAATAGAAATATTAATGGAATAATCTATATTAATATACTATATTATATTAATATAATATACTAATATATTATATTTCTAATGTACATTAGTCGACATCTTGTCGACATAATAGGAAAAACTGTATTTTTTTTTGTTATTTGGACCGATTTGGTCAACATTTCCGAAATATAGGAAATGTCGACTGGCATAATGTAATTTTTATATTACCATCCATTTTCTTGTTGGTGAGCCTCGACATCAACATATGTCGGGCGACATTAACAACATTTGGCGACATTTGAAACCATGGTTAGGAGCAGTAACCACAATAAAGTTGGATGGAACAAATTTTTTGGCATGGTCTCAATCTATGAAAATTCATGAACCCCGAATATGATATTGCAATGCAGAATGTTTTAGCAAAAGATGAGAATGGGAAAGGTGGCAATGCAAATGTAGCCACCTCCTCATAGAGTGAACAGGGGTTGGGTGCTAAGAAATCTATGGGGGAACAGCTAGCAGCCACTAGGGCTGAATATGAGAAATATGGACAAATAATTAGTCATTTGGAGTCTACAACTATAGCACCGACTCCTTCATAGACCGGTTCCTCTTTTGCCTATGCACACTCAAGTATCCATGCCACTGCAAATCATGCTACTATTTTAGGTAATTGTAAAATCCCTTGGATAATAGACTTTGGTGCTTTTGACCTTATGACCAGTGTTTCACATTTATTCACCACCTACCAACTTTTATTTGGTCGAGACAAAATATCCCTTGTTGATGGATCTCTTACCCCTATCACAAGCATAAGCTTAATACCAATTTACTTTCAATTAGTAATTTAACTATGTCCTTAAATTGTAGCGTAACCTTTTTAAGACATGAAATCTCAAAAGGTGATTGACAGTGGCCATGAGGCGAATGGGATATATACCTATTAGACATGCTTGAGCAAAGCCAAGTACAACCACAAAGAACAACATTTAAGAGTCATAGTAGTAGTTGTACAAGATTGCAACTAGTCTTAGGTTTAGAACAGAAACTAAAAGAGAAGAAGAAAAAGAGGAGAGAAGGAGAGAGAGAGCTTGAGAGAGATTTCTAAGTAAAGAGAGAGTGGTTGTATTAGAAACAGCCACCCCACTCTTAAATTTATATACATAGTGTCATAATTGTAAAAGGACTGAATTGCTTACATGGCAAGATAAGATAAGATAAGATAAAGCTGAAGTACTAATCCTAATCATAACTAATAGACTAATCCTAACTAATAATTGAATGCTGACATACGAACACAGTGGGGACCACATTAGTGTTCTCTACACTCCCCCTGAAGTTGGGAATAGATATTTGTCATTCCCAACTTGCATGGATCTGCCTCTAACTTCTTCCTTGAAACAGCCTTGGTGAGAAGGTCTACAAGTTGCATGTCGGAGGTGATGTACGAAAAGCATACTTCTTAAGATGTAACCCTTTTTTCTGATAAAATGTTGGTCCACTTCAATATGCTTAGTTCTGTCGTGCTGTACCAGATTATGGGCTATATTAATGGCAGCCTGATTATCACAGTACAGCATTAAGGGCTTCTCATAAACAATACCCAACTCCTCAAATAATGATCTCAACCATAGAATCTCAGCCACACCATTTTCCATGGACCTATGTTCAGCTTCAGCATTGGAACGAGAAACAACATTTCGTTTCTTACTCCTCCAAGAGACAAGATTACCTCCTATAAAAGCACAATAACCAGAGGTAGATCTTCTATCATCAACACATCCAGCCCAATCAGCATCTGTGTAAACTTCTATCTTCATGTGATTATTATTCTTGAACAAAATGCCTCTACCTAGGCACCTCTTCAAATATGCCAATATCCTCTCAACTGCAAGGAGGTGAGTAGTTCTAGGAGAGTGCATATTACTGACTAACAACATTGACTGCATAACTGATGTCGGGTCGTGTGAGACAGAGTTTTCCAACTAACCATTGGAACATAGCTTTATCTTCAAGAGGCTCTCCACCCTCTGCACTGATCTTGTGGTTCTGTTCAATGGGTATATCAGCAGGCTTAACACCCAACTTTCCAGTTTCTTCCAATAGGTCAAGAACATACTTTCCTTGAGAAACAAAAATCCCATGCTTGGACCTAGATACCTCAACGCCCGAGAAGTATCGTAGCTCTCCCAGATCTTTCACCTCAAACTCTTGATGAAGGAGTTGCTTAAGGGACTCAATCTCATTATTATCACTCTCTGTTACTACAATATCATCCACATATACAGCAAGCAAGGTTAAGGAAGATACATTTTGAGGCCTTAGGATCAAATTTGGAACGATGGGGTCCAAGAATCTAAACAAAGCAAATAAACCCAAA